CAACCAACCAACCAACCAACCAACCAACCAACCAACCAACCAACCAACCAACCAACCAACCAACCAACCAACCAATCAACTAGTCAACTCTGCTTTCCGCACTCCCCCCACCCCCCCCCCCCCCGGTGGCCCAAAACCGCGGCGCGCCAGCCCTGGCAGATCCTGGCCATCTGCCCTGCAGCGCCCTGGCCATCCGAGCCGGCGGCCACCGCCAAGGCATAGGGCCGCCCGTTGAGGCGGCCCAGCGCCGCGTAGTAGGTCCGGTCGAAAAACTCCTTCCTCGTCAAAGGGTTGAGTTGGAATGAGTTGGAATGAACCCATGGTTTGAATGGACCAGGGCCAAACAGCTTCCTCAGAGAACTCGCGATCGCTGCGATAGGTAGGCAATGAGTTGGAATGAGCCTAGGTGCGTTCATAGAAAACAAGCGAAGATTTCCGCGGGGCGTTCTAACCTGAGGCCAAGAAGCAAGGGGTCGTTCCAAGAAGCAAGGGGTTATGTTTGAGACGCCCAACTGTCGTCCTTTTTGTGTCTGAAGAAGACTTGCGATCGGTGCGATAGGCAGGGAATAAGGGAATGAACCCAGGATGGTTTAAATGGACCATCTTGTAGCAAAAGTGCAACATTTAGATTCCTCAGAAAACAAGCGCAGGCGGCGTTTGATCCTGATGCTACGAACCAAGGGGTGATAACACATGGGCTCCCAAAATAGGAATCGGATCTTTGAAGCAAGGCGAAGTGTTCCTTTGGTTTCCCTTCAAAACCACTTCAACATGGGCTTTTCCGGCTGCTATCCTCAAACTACAAAAAACATGTTGATGGGTCTTGGGTTAGCCAAAACCAAAAAAAACACAAAACGACGAGGGCGCAAACCGACGAAGGGTGCTAGAGTTGGGAGTCTCGAGAAAACAAGCCCAACGGACGCGGGGAAAGGCGATCACCTCGTGCCACAGCAATGGCGAGTTTTCTGGTTGATCTTTCGATGGTTCAAGCAATTCTTTGCTCAGAGTACAAGAACAGTTATATTTGTTTCAGAAAGGATACCTTTGATTTTCCCAGCAAAAAGGCAACCTTCCTCCATGGTGGATTTTCGCAACTGGGTACAAGCTGTGCTGATTTTGGGGAAGGATCAGAGGCCTTCCCCATTTTGGCTGTCCGGATTTTGGCACCGAATGGCCTTGCAGTGCTGTGGATGATAGATGATGATAGGACTTCCATGGATTTCCCTTGTTCTCATGGGATGAGAGGCGACTCTGAAAGTCTCGGATGATCCGAGGCCAAGCTCCTCTCAGGAAGCGAGCTGCCAACATCTGAGCAACCCAAGCCGAGCAAAAAGATTCACATTTGTCCAGCCCCAAGACGTTCATTGCCGTCAGGGCACATCTCTCCCGACATTGTGGCAAGGTTCTCTGGAGCGCAGAACAGGAAGCCCTGCGCTGACAGCCTGGGTTTGACATTAGCGACCTGCCTGTGTCAAATAGGGAGACTCGCCCGCCTGCCGATCTTTTTTTCCCGTTGCTCGGATCCCATCAAACCAGCCAGAAAAGGGAAACCAGTGAGGGTACCCAGTTCTGTTGTCAACGGAACACTTGCCCCACATTTGGGGTACACAGGGAATACACACACGCACAACTCTGACTCTGTTCCACAAAGGTCTTTGGGGTGCGCAGAAAATACAGACTCTGTTCCCTAAAGGTCAAACCTGAGAAAAAAACACGATCCCCAGAGGACAGCTCCACTCAGCGCCTCTTTTCATTTCGCCAGGCCGCAGGTCATCTACCTGGGCGTCTCTGGCGCGGCGCAGGTCCACGTCGAAGTGCTCAACCTCCATGGTGCAGGCAGCGCTTCCTGAAGGCATCGGACAAGGGACCGCGCCTGAACTGCGCCCCTTGCAGACATCGCCCCTGGCGTTTTCGCCCCCCCAAAGAAATGAAAGCAACTCCGGTCGTGATAGATTCCCTTGAACACCAACTGGGGAACATAGACCTAATATGCTGAAAACAGAAGCATATGGGTGTCTTGGAATAAGGGAACAGACACCGGGTTTCCCTTTTGGTTTTCTTCAACACCACGCACCCCCAAAAGAAGCTCAAAAAAGAAAACAACATAGGCAGTGTGTGCTGATCAAATGTTTTTGGTCCCGTGGAACAATTTGAAGAAACGCAAACTGTTTTTGCAGTGGGTCTTCATTGTGTTTTGCGGCTCCGGAGTAGCCTGGGCTGTTCACAACGGAGTGGCCAGTCCGATTCTCCATAACCCCTATTGTACAACCACTACAAAGGGGACCAATTCATTAACCCAAGGAAAGGACCTTGTGGATTGCCCTTGAACAGGTAGCACCCTGTTTCAGGTATCCCTTGCTTTGGATTGGGAACTGGGGATTTGAACGGGTCGGCTTCTGTAAATGGCTTCCGCCCCTCCGGAAGCTTCGGCTCCGCTTCGGCTCCATTCGACTGGCGGTTCTTTAGCCAAGTCTTCGAGCGCCGGCGTACAGCGCCTCCGCCATCTGCCGTGCCATGCCGGTCCTGGAATGCCTCGGAGAGCGCGTGGGTCATGGGCGACCCTACTTCCCACCTTGGCGCCTGACAGGTTTCATGGCACCTGGCCCCTTTAAGGGCCAAAAGTCAATCTTCCAGGTACCTTATAGGTGCCTTCTGTGAGTGGCAGGAGGGGTTGTTATACAAGAGCTTGCTCCTATCCTGACTCAATCTGGATTGAAAGTACGCCACAACTCCCCTTTATATTATCTGGGTCTCTTTCCTGCCTGGCCCAAGTACTCTTTCCTGTCGACAGGCATATCCCCAGCGAGGGAGCGATTCCCATAGCTTCCCCTTGCGGAAACCGCAACATCACCCACCCCGTTATATAGAACAGGGCGTTGGGGTACTTTATGCCCAAATTTAGTCATGATGACACGGATAAGCTATCAGAACACGTTTTGACCCCTATACATGAACTGGGTCCCGTTCCTGCTTGCTGCCTTGCCCAAGTGCCCTTGTTGGTCGAAAGGCACATCATGTCACACTGAGCGGGGCGATTCACGGCTTTCCTTCACAAACCGCACCATCACCCTTTGGTCCCTCGCAACCACCCCGGCAATGCAGCAAGGTTGGAAAAGGCCTGTCCATACTCCCAACGTACCGCTACCAGCAAAGAATCCTGATTTCATTCGCAACCAGCAAGCCCGGGAAAATTGGGAGCCCCAAGTAAACCAATCATCGTACCAATGCAAATCACTGAGCGTTTCCGGTCCGTTGCGATATTCATACCATGAACTGAGAAATGAAACACGGGCAGGATGGGGTCTGTCTGCAAAAAAGCGCCAACATGCGCTGCTCTCTTTCTAGAACCCTTGGAGGTTAGACTCTTCTGGAGCTGGGAGTCACCCCGTCTCACGGTTTGGCCCGGGAAATCCCCACGAGTTACGTATTCCTTGCGACGCGCAACGCCGCTGATCTGATCCCAACCTGCCCCCTTTCACAGCCTTCAGCCTTAGGTTTCCTTCAGGTTCTGGCAACTCGCGCTTCCGTCCTTCACTGGGCATTGCCCGGAGTTGGCTCTTCTCTGTTTTCAGGGAGATCTTGGGGTTCAGTTCCTCCCGGGGAAAAAAACACACACACACAAACAAAAAAAAACAAACAAAACAAAAAACGAAAGGACGCTGAAGGCCAGTGAGCGGCCACACAATCAGCAGCCGCGGCGAATCCGCCAGCGCCGGCGCAGTCCGCGCCAGCAGGCCCGCCGGGTCAGAGTGTCGCACCCAGCTGCGGAGCATGGCAGTTGACACCCAAAAAGGGTTGTCTCTGCCTCAAAACCCCCTTCAAAACCAGCAAAAAAAAACCTGGCTGAGTTGTTGTCCTTTTTCAAAAGCCCGGAAAAGGCAACGACTCAATCAAGGGCACCACGGCCCCCCTTCTGGGGCCAACCGCTTCGTGGCCCCCTAAATGGGCTCCCACAAAAACGAGTTCCTCTGCACATTATATTGGGGGTTTCATGTTGTGCAACTACTTTACATGGGATGTACATGGGTTACAATTGTTGCCATGAACAATACATTCCTCAAGGAATTCTCGTTTAAGTTTGCACAGGTACATTTCTGTTTGGCACTATAGGATGCTCCATCATTTGTTCTGGCGTTCCTCGGGGGGTGATCCTTGCTCAAATTCAAGCGTATTTCAAACTCGGGACTGCGCCATATGGGAATGGTTCAAAACCAATGCTACCATTTTGGGATAGGTGCACCACCCATTTTAGTCTGTTCTAGTGGGGATTGGGATGTTCACTGGGGGATAACCGGGGTTTTGACACATGGCCATATGGTTCTTGGTTCGCTTCTCGCTGTGGGGGCTCGAGATGCGTTGCGTCAGCTGAGCGCACGACAGTCACAATGGAATTCAGGAAGGCATCAGAGGGGTATAGGCGGTGCAGGGTTACTCCAAAACTGAAGGCACCCATCAAGACATGCATTGGCAGCTCAACTAAGGGTGACCAAGCTATCTGTACATTTTTATCATGACTGAACCACCTGAACTACGGGACCCAAGTAAAGGACCTACATCACCTGGATCGGTGAGCTCGAAACTGTCCCCGATGAAGCATCGGCGGCTTTGAGCAAAGCCAACTATCCAAGGAAAACGCAGAGACACCAAACAAGCAGGGTTGCCCATTTTGGCGTCGCACCCTAGCCAAACCCAGGCGGGTTGTTTACTGCTCAGCATACAAGCGGGCGCTGTAAGTCACCCCACGTCGCGTTAAGTCACCCCAGCCAGCCCCAGCCGCTTGGAACTACGCATATCTGTTTAAGTCACCCCATGCGTTTTAAGTCACCCCATTTTTTGCAAAACACAATGGGCGCAGAACTGGAAGGGCGATGGTGCCAACCCCAAGAATTCACCGCGCACTGCACGCACATGCTCAAAACTCACTGGTTTGGGTTCATGTTGAATGCTTTTCCCGGGCAAAACCCTATTGGGCACACTGCAATTAAAGGGTTCCTATCCTTCAAACATAAATAGTGTTTTCTGTTGGTTTCCCCAAGGCCTGCATTCCTGAAACCAAGTAACCGGACCAACCAGCCAGCCCCCGGCCAGGGCTAAGCCAACCGGTTCCGGGCCGGAACGCCCGACAAAAGGGCTGCCGGCGCGAGTGCCGCGCGACTCTGCGCGAGTGCCGAGCGCCAGGTGAGCCGTGCCCTCATCCCAATGAAGATTGCTTCCGCTTGTGGCGCAACTTCAAGTGCTGCGGCACGAGAAGAGAGAACCACCCAGTGGCAGTGAACATACACGCATGCACACGGCACATGGAAGCCGACCAAATGTTGATGTTATGAGTCTGGGATCTCATGGGCACCCTTCTGTCAGTATACCTCGAGTAGAACATCATACATTTTGCATGCGCACAGCACAGAATTATGCGATTTCAGAAAATGACATGCTTGAGACAACTATCCTTACATCCACAACCACAACGGGCACACTCACCCGGGACGACTTAGATCAACCCGGGACGACTTGCAGCACTTACTCGGTAACTTTCACGTGGAACCCACAAACCATGCTTACAAGACTGTCCTTCTTGATCCTTTTTGAGTTCCGTGCTCATTGGCAGATGATCTAAACAAACCATCCCCTTGTCCACTCAGATCCCTTGGCAACCCCACCATCGGATCGGCCAAGCGACTTAGGACTTGGAGAAAAACTCTGCATGATTCACGTGGAACCCAAAAAGGGGGGGGGGGGCAAAAGGAGATTCCTTCACAAGTGAGGGTTTCTTGGGGTGCCATGTAAATCTGCAGGGGAATACATGGCAATATCCGTTTGGGGGGAGCAACTAGCAGGGAGCCTCTTCCTTGCTCCCTCCCTGCTGCATCCAAAAATCACGGCGGTTTCATGTTCATATTCCATGCTAGGGAGGGTACAAGCACTGCCTACCCCGGTTAGAAAGGTAAACTGGAGCGCGCGGCTGAGCGGGGCGTCACCTTCGGCGCAATCTTTGGCCTTGAATCGGCGCTCTCTGAGAAAGCGAAACAAACTCAGGGGAACCCAAAAATATCCTTCTTTACACTTTTGTACGGTGGATGCCCGACAAGTTGTGAGTGGGGGATCAAAGGGAAACCGGTCATTTCCAGGTATTTCCCGGATTTTCGAAACCAACCGCCGTACCACCAGATTTGGCACTAGACCCCAGAAATCAATTCATGGACCGCTGAAGAGTTGCCTGGGGACAGTCATTCAACCCAGGATAAGCCTAGAATAAGCCCTTGAATCAAGGGCCTCATTAAGGAGTTAACAAGTCATGGGCACCCCGAATGGGGTTCTATCATCAAACCCGAGCTAGCATGTTACATTTTACGCTGGTGAGTTGTACTACAACATCTGTGTCTTAGCCATCAGTTCGCCAGGCCGAGCCCGACCAAGGTATGGTTCTTCTCTCCCAACATGGAAGCTGACAGGTCCCTTGGGCCTGCCAGCTTGCGAAGGCGTGCTGTTGGGAGGGAGGCTATGAGTGAAGGGCCTTCTGTTGTGAGAACATCATCGGATCATCTCCACTTGATGCCTGGAGGCTTCAAACATTCGGGCAGAACCCCAAAGAATCGACCTTCACAAGGGTAGACACACAGACGGCTTGGTTGAGGTTGGTTGCAATAAAGAAACACCGAAGCTGCCAAGTGTTGTAACGATATCAAAAGCCGTGTTTTCTCCGATTTCTGCTTGGGGAGCGTACAACCCAACACGCCCCCCTACAAAAAGTTGACCTTCTGCTGGTTGAAAGGAACATGGTAAGCTTGCTTGTGTCTCATTCGGCCTGTTTCGCCCCCCCCCCCCCCTAAACTGGGGCACCGGCTCATAGCGAGCAGCCTGCAATCCAAAGCCCAAACTCAAAGAACTTCGCAATGTGGGTTTCTGACAGGATGTCCAGAAAGAAGCCATTCACTTTCTGGACTGGACAAATAATAACAATTCACCGATATGACGTAGAAGACCCCCCAGGAATCTGCACGGGTGATGTTGCAAACCATAGCGCCATGCTCGTGCGACAACAAGGCAAACAGGAAGACCGAGCCATTGAATTGGGAAAACCTGCTATTGAACGAGCCTTGGGCCGCTTTGCTGGATGGGATTTACGCCCACCCATTTTCTGAGGGTGTTCCAACCATTGAATACTCACAAGTGTCTTGCCAAGTGGGGTTTTTCAAGTCCTGCTTTGATTGGTTCAAAACGAAGCGGCCTCTCCTTTCCGCCAAGCCTCTTTGGGTCTGCCAAAAGTGGCCACAATCGTCGTCACTCCTGTGGCTCATAGTTGTCATAGTGGCTCAGTGGCCCGAAGTCTCAAAGATCAAGCTCCTCTTGAAACCCTCAGGCGCCGCGGGGATTTTGTCAGATTATGGGATTCTTCCGTGCCTGCCTCAGAGGTCCGCACTTCCGGGCGTGGTCCTCCGTTGCGCGGCGGTTGGGGACCCCAAGCCTGTCAGAACCGAACCCGTGAATGGAGGATCTGCTTCTGGTTCTTCAAGCCCCAGCAAGAGAGTTGGTGCTCAGGCAAGCAGGGTGGAAATGAGTGAACCGTTTTCCCTGAAACCTCAGGGATGGTTTGGGCTCCTTCCCTTCCCTGAGCACCAGCAAGAAGAAAGGGGGACTCGATGTTCGAAGACCACTTTTGGCTGTGAATCAGACCACTCAAACTCAAGTTGCTGGCGTTGCCCACGGGTTCCGGACCCGCCATGCTGTATGCATTTTGCTTGAAATGAACCAGGGCCAGGCTTCCATAAGTAAGGCTGCCACGCTGATTCCGAGTCTGAAATCTGAGAGTACCGGCAGGCTGTCTCCGAGCCCTGCAAAAACAACTGAGAGGATCCCTCAAAGAAAGTCCGAGCTCATTCTCAGATCAGCCTGGTCTCCCTAAAAAGCCTGAAGCTCGACTTTGTGAAGTGAGACAAGTAGTAACACAACGGTTCTGGAAAACGAGCCCTTTCTAGGATACGACTTGGTACCACCAAGAATAACCACCATGCACAACTACTATTTCATCTGAAAGCAACCCGTCCTCTCGCGGTCTCGGGTGGTATGTCCTGTGGCAAAAGTGAAACACGGGCTTTGCGTGGGTCGTTTTTGTGGAATTGGCACCGTCTTTGTGCAGGGAAGCCAAAGGAGAAGCGAAGCCCTTGTTGGGGGTTGCCACATTTTCACACAAGCACAGTTGGCCGTGGGTCGACACCAATGGTACCATCGTGGGGTAGGTGCACCACCCATTTTTGTCTATCTTAGTGGGGATTGTCATGTTCACTAAAAGTACGATTTGGGCTTTGACCCTTGGCCATTTGGGAGGAAAAACAACAAGTTGCAGCCTCTGGTGTATTTCGATGCTTTCCCGGTCAAGTATGCCCACGTAAAACCCATGAAGCTGTCTCACCAAATCACCCCAAACGACCCTGGGGAACAGAGAAGAATCATTTCTCCCATATGCTGCTTCTCGCATCCCGAAACGGGGCCACCGCTTCCAAAGACCTGGGAACTTCTGGCAGAAGATCCCAGCTGGAGCATTTTAAAACTCACCATGCCTCACGGCAGGGGTGTATCAGCTTGAAGACTCATAGGTTGCAACTATCGAGCAACAGCGCGCTTTGGACAGAAGCATGCGTGGCCATTGAAGATGCATCACTGCATCACACTCTCTCTCTCTCTCTCTCTCTCTTTCCCTCCCTCCCTCCCTCTCTCTCTCTCTCTCTCTCTGTCTCTCTCTCTCTCTCTTTCTCGCTCTCTCCTCTCTCTCTCTCTCTCTCTTTCTCTTCCTCTCTGTCCGTCTGTGTCTCTGTGTCTGTGTCTCTGTCTCTGTCCGTCCATGTCTCTGTCTGTCTGTCCGTCTGTCGGTCTGTCTGTGTGTCTACGTATAGTTTCCCAAAACGTGCAACCACAGCACATACTTTGGAGAGCGGCTGAACTTGAAGGCACAAGAGCATTTCATATTCAAAGAGGAAAGCAGCGCAATCCTGCGAGTATGCACACACATTTTCTTGCTAATGATGGCCAACAAATTGGGTGAAACTACCCCGAAAAACATTCTCATGCAGGAGCAAAGTGACTTACGTGTCTGCCGCAAGACAGGATATCTCTTTTGGATGTAAGCGGAACCATAAATGAATACCAATCAGGTGGAGGGATAACAATCCGGATTTCACCAAAAGGACAATCCCGAGAGGGGTGTCCCATAGGGTGAATCCTTTGCTTGTGGCAACACCCTCATTCATCCGCCGGATTGATTGATCGAGATGATCTGAATTGCTTCTACAGGCCCGTGACTCAATTGCCGCAGTCCTCGCGATCCAGCTTCGTCAGCGCCTTGCAAGCCCGGGCTGACCAGGGTTTAACAGGAATCCTCTAGCAGGATCGCTGTGCACTGAAACATCCAGATATATCTGGCTTCAAAAAACCCGTGCGCTGATATGCACAGGGGTATGCCCTGATACACATGGATATGCATGCACTACGTACATATACAAGTAAATAAGCAAGTAAGCAAGTCTGGATGTGCAGGTGCATGAAATTTATATGTACGCGTTACGGCATAATGCACATGTGTATGTCTGTATATGGATATGTGTATGTCACATGCATATGTATGCATGCATGTATGAATGTACGTATGTACGCATGCATGCATGCATGCATGTGAGTAAGTAAGTAAGTAAGTAAGTAAGTAAGTAAGTAAGTAAGTAAGTAAGTAACAAGGTAAGTATAAGTGCCTGCATGCATGTATGTGTGTATGTGGGTATCTGCGTATGTGTGTATGTATCGTATGCCACTGCATGTGAATGCAATGTGCATCTATATATGTGCGTTCGCACACAAGTAGACACATGTGAAGATTTGTCGCTCGACGCTCAGACCTACCGTTGTCTATGTGCGTGTCACAAGTAAACCAAGTGCAAGTCTGCTTCCTGCTTCCCAATTCCTACCCGAATCCTCAGCACTTTGCCGTAACCTTCTCTTCTCAGATTGCATCGACAAATCAAAGGCTTGCAAAGGAAGCCTTGTATTCAGCAAAGCAACTTTCAGTGTGACCATCTCTGGACATCTTTCAATCAATGAGAACACTCCGCGTGCGAAGGCGAACCCGCACACATGTCGAGGGTATCTTCCTTACAACGGAAGTCTCACAAGCGATGATGTCATCTGAGCCAATCAAAAGGGAATCTTCAAACAAAGCCACATCCATTTGTGGCACGACAGTTTCCCCAGCCCGCTGGAAGAAATGATCTCGCCTCGTTGATCCTGGAGAGCACACCTTTCACCTGGCGGAACTGAACGGGGTGTCTGTAGTGGGACTTCGAAAGGAGCTTCTTCTAGTTAACAAATGATGCCGTTTTGAGTTCCGTCTAAATTTGAAAAGACCTCCTTACTTCGCCTTGTGGGCAATGGTATATTTGCTTCGGACAAACGAGGTTTACTTATCACACTCCTGCAACACTCACTAAGATATACCTGTTGAATGAAGCATCGGTTTTGTCAAGGAATCTCCTTTGCAGCCGCTTGTTGGGCTCCAAACACCTGAGAAGCGAGAATACCATATACCTGGAAAAAGGTGGGATCCACCATGAGCTGAAGGGCCAAAGTGGGCTTCTCACACATTCTGTTTTAAACTCCCCGATCCCTCAAATCATGGAACCCACGCCCATGATTTCTACAGCACATGCTGTTGGTGAGTCCGTGTTGCATCCATTGTATTTGCAGGGGAGAAAATACCACTCTTCTTGGATTCTACCTTCATTTATTTTCATAGGGGAGTGTCTTCCCACCCAACGTGGAACCCCCCAAGAAGGGCCTTCCTCTGTCCCTAGTTAGGTTCCATGTTGGGTGGGAGGGTGGTGGTCGCGATCTCCATCTCGCACGCCGTCTTCTGGCTTACAAACATCTTTTGGCCTAAGCATGTTTAACTTGCTGGTTCTCAGGGAATCCCTGGGCTCATTGCCAACACCCATACCGGTCATTCTCCACTGAGCACCAGCAAGCAAATCGTGTGTATTGCCCGCAGAAACGGATCCAGGGTGCGAATGTATTGCAAAGTTGGTTGATGTACGGCTGTCTCTGAAAATAGGTGACCCCCCTAAAATGGCATCGTTGCTTCCCCTCGTTTCCCGTTAAAACCCACCCCAAAGGGGCCCGCCCCAACTTCTTTTGAGACACACGCATCTAGGGGATGTTGCCCCCTCCCGGATCAATGGGAGAGCCGAGCCCTGGGAGATCTCTGCCGAGAGGTGCCAACACACGGCAGCGCCACGCAGTCCGCCATCTGCGAGGGCCTTGCACATGACCCTGGCCCTCAAACTCAGAGCTTAGAACTCCAAAAAAGAATATCATGCAATAGGATTCTGCACAAATCGATTTCACCCAGAATCAAACCCATAAGAACTCTTCATGGGTGGAAACGCTCAGATGGGCAGGCTATTATCTGTTGACTAGCTGCTGACTAGCTCAATAGTTTGGGTCAGGTTTGGTGTTTTTTGCCGGGCCATCTTGTGTGGCTGGGTTTCTTGCAGGTTGGCAGGTCGGCAGATGGGTTGTGTAGAATCGGTTTTCAGGCGGTTTCAGGGTACCAACTTGCGTGGGTTCAGGGTTGGCTTCGGGTTGCAGGGAGGGAAGCCAGCAAACACTGCGACAAAAGCAGTGTAGAAGCTAAATCGCCACGCCCTAAATCAAACTCAGTTTCACCAAGCATCCAAAACCAAGTCTCCCTCCAAAACAAAAAAGCAAACAAAGAAACGGCTCTTCAAAGGGTTCCCTTCTACAATGTATGCAACTCCTGACTTTTGACTGGTGCGTGACCCTCAGGAAGAGATGTCTGTTTGACGGTTTGAAGGCACGAAACCCAAGGCAAACCATGGCCTTCGCCATCCTTTGGCCACCTCGTGGAGGCATAGGCACCCACAAGGCGACGTGACACCATGATACCCCGCGCGCCCAGAATTCCACGATGCCCAGTGGATTTCCATGGGAAAAAGGGCACCTGTCTTGGTTGGTTGACTTTACAGGGGAACCCTTCCAAGAAAGAGGAACAACGGGTACCACTGGGCAACTGGGCCCATGAGAACATCGGACGCCTCTTTGGTTGGCTCGGAATCTGCCGGCCTCACGAGTGTAGCAAAGTCACCCAAAGTGACTTTGGCTCAAAAGGGTTTGAGCCTGTGGCCAAGAGGAAAGCTCGCGTTTTTGGTTGGTTGGGCCTGGGAAGCCCACCTTAGAAGCGGGGGTCTGGACCACCGAAACCCCCTGAAAATACAAGAACGCCTGGTTCCTGGCCTCTTGAAGCCACCCAGTCTCGTGACACGGGTTTCAACAAATGGCTGTGGTTGTCAAAACCAATGGTACCGTTTTAGTTAGTAGGTGTACCACCCATTTTAGAACCTATTTTAGTGGTTGGACTAGGATGTTCACTGGGGGTACGAGCTTTGGATTTTGACCCAGGGCTCTGGTTTCGTATTCCCTCAAAGTTGCTGCAACGTGGAGCGCCTGCCGTTGAGCGCCAGCTCTGGCCTCGGCGCGGTTGACACCACCAGGAATTCACGACGAATGAGGAAGCCAAAGAAACGGTGGATTTCCTTCTGCCGTATCATTTCATCAGGGTACCACCGAAACATCGCTTGGCTTCTCTCCTTTGGACACCTCCCAATTGCAGTTCTGTTGCATCAGTGTGTCTTCACTAACCCCCATGCTTGTCTGAATACCCAGGGTTTCATGTAAGAGCCCTCGACAGAGAGGGGTGTTCCTCCGCAGATTCACGCGGACCCCCCCAAATCAAAGGCACACCTTTTGAAGCTCTGTGACAATTCGTTATGCAGGTCGCTCCACAAAAGACGGATCATGCAAAAGACCACCCCTAACAATAACACAAACGCAGCAACAGGTGCATTCTCAACAGTGAGCGTTGAAGCGATTCCGGCTGCTCGGGGCCGATTTGAAGTTAGCTGAATCAGCTGTCGGGGAACAGTTGTTTATTCCGCAGATAGCTGAAAGCTATAGGGGTTCTAACTTCTAAGAAAGAGGGGACAGTGATTCGCGAGATTGATGGGCTGGTGCTACGCGTGCAGTTTGGGGTGCTGGTGTAGGTGCTGATTGGGGTGCTGTTTGAGGCGCTGATGGCGGTGCGGGCGCATCTTTTCAAGATTGACGGTAGGGTGCTAGGGGGCATGCAGTTTGGGGTGCTTGTGCAGGTGCTGTTTTGGCATTTGGGGGGTGACGGTACGCGCGTATTTTGCATCTTGACGGGGGGAGGGTGCTGGTGACGGTGCGGGCGCATTTTTGCGATATTGACGCTCGGGTGCTATCGGGCATGCAGGTGACGGTGCAGGCGCATGATTGCATTTTGACGGTAGGGTGCAAGGGGGGCATGCAGCTTAGGTGGTGGTTTGGGATTCGGTTTGGGGTGCTGGTTGATTTTCGCAAGATCGACGGCTGGGTGTCTTGAGGGGTGCTGTTTGGGGTGCTCTTCAGGGTGATGGTGCGGGCGCATTTTTGCTGGATTGACGGCCGGGTTTTGCTTGGGGCATTCTTCGGGGGGGTGCTTTTGGAGATGCTGGTGTGCAAGCACTACTATCTGGGGTCTATGCTGGTGTATTTTTTTGGGGGGTTCTCTCAAAATTAGACCTTGAGACACCTCAACTAATTAGACGGAGCCCTTGACTTATTTAAACATCAAACCAAACATATCAACCAAGGGGTGTCTCAGTTGCTTGATGTTTCTCCAACCCCTCCAAAGCACCAGATGGAGCCCTGGGAGTTTGGGGACCCCTTGAGTTTGGTTTCCGAAAGGTGGAAACGCCTGGGCGCCCGGCGGCTGGCCCGGCGGGGGGGGAGGCTCCTGTGCACCTGGCAAGCAAGCCATCAAGCGCTGCGCCATCACAGAGGGAAAGTGCGCTCGGTGCGAAGAGGGACACCTCCGTTTTTCGAGTTGAAGAACTCGCCAAGAAAGATGTGAGTCAGAAAAAGAAGCCGCTCAACCGCTCACGTGGATTCGCTTGGTGGTTCTTTAGGCTTCTTTTCGCGCCCCCGGGAAAGAAAGAGACCGCCCTTGCATAGAATCGACAGGTGCAAGCACGTGATTTGCGCAAAGGGTGGAACGCTAGACAAATTCCTCGCGGTTTTTGGGAACTTCCCTTTGTCTAGAGAAAACATGGGCAAAGGCTTCACAACCGTGCAGAGGGTTTCGCATCGCTGCCAATTTCACCCAAGAAAGCTCGTTTTCGGCTGGGAATTCTAATTGCAGCTGATTCGTGGCCGAATGGAAAGACAAAAGGTGGTGCCAGATTCGCATGTTTCTGGCAAATGCGTTCCCATGTGATACATCAGCGCCCAGACTGCTTCACTGCTTTTTTCAACCTTCGGCACCCTTGTCTGATGCCAACAAACATGAAACCAACGCCCAACAGCCAAGTATCACCCCAAATCTCCACCGATTTTGAGGGGTGTTCTAAATGAGGGGAAACCCCAGATTTTGGGGTTGAGCAAATCTCTTCGGAGCCTGAGAAAGGGTACCAAGTCCAAAAAACGCGACACTTGCACGTCTTTCCACCTCCAGTCGAGCCGCTGGAGCCGGTGCGCCTGGCTCGAGCTTGGAAGCCAAAGACATGGGCTGTGAGTCTTGCAGCACACAGTGGGAGTTAGGATGTCAGGAAGCAAATAGCAATGCAGGCCCACATCTTTTGGGAAGGGTGTTTCTCCGTGGCTGCATGACTAAGCCACCCCTCCTCCCTCCCTCCCTCCCTCCCTCCCTCCCTCCCTCCCTCCCTCCCTCCCTCCCACCCCTAACTTGGCTTCCTCTCGAATAACGCCTTGGAAAGTCTTATTTGGGTCTGTTGAGGAAGCAGGGGGAGGGGTCGGAATAAGACTTTTGGGTGGGTTGTCTAGGATTTGGCACCCCATTGGCCCTTTGAAGCCATGATCAAAACAGGGATTTGGAACTCACTGGGGCAGCGTTGGTGTCTTCCCGTCTGAGCCCCTTCGGATCGATTTGAAAAATCAACCTCCCCACCATTCCCAACATGCGTGGAATGCCCCCATTGGTTTCCCCGTTGCTTTTGGTTCCTTTCACAACCAACAGGTTACCATTGCAACATCTCTGGCCATGGTTCTCTGAATAGGAACCAACCCCCAAGTTGCTTCCGCCAAGGCACTCGAAGGATACGAAGCAAACAGTCGCAACCACGTTTCGCCTAATAGCGGGGCGGAAGTATGTCATTCCCAAAACACATCAAATCGAATTTCGATCAAACCAACTAGCGACTGGAATTGACTGGAGAAGTAGGATATTTTGAGCCGTTGCTCTAACAACAATATTGCCAACAACAACAACAAGTCTAACAACAGCAATATCATTTTTGCTTACAACAATATTGTTCATGATACTAATCATACATACTAACAATAACACCAACTTCCAACGCCACAAATCAAGATCTGGGACAACGAACAACGCAAAGGAACAAGACACTCCAAAGGCGAGCTAAGTCTGGCAACCAGGGCAAATGACATCCGACTGGCTCAGCAAGGCAAATGGAGCAGTCAAAGAGGGGCAAGGTGCCTGGCAAGTGATTCGTAACCATGGGCACGCAACCAACGCCATGGTTGCAAGGCCCCCGGTTCCGTGGGTTCCAATGGGACTGATCAATTGCCCTCCCACCAACATGGAGGTCATTAAGAAGGTCCCATTAGGACAGTTTGTCTTTCATCCCCCAGCCACATGTTCTTAAAGGAACTGGTAGCTCCCGGGCGAAATTGGATACCCCCGGCTGCGTAGCGGCTCCCTTCCAATAGCCAGGTAAGGCTCGACCTACACATCTTAGGGGACCCTTTGGACATCATTTAGCTGAGGATTCATGTCTACTAACCACTTTTGAGGCACCACCGTTCAGAAACTCAGGTTCTGATGATTCCCCATGGTTTCATTTCGCGGTGCGAAATGGATTCGCACCCATGCAGTAGGGTCACTGGATTTTTCCCTAAGTCGCCATTTGCCGGTGGCTTCCATGTGAAACGCTTACTTTTGAAAGGTTCCAGGGGACATGGAGACAACTTCTCAAATATGCACAGGTTCCAGGATAAAATTGCCATTTGCCTGTGGTTTACATTGATGCTGCTTCTTTGGAGGCTCCAGGAAAAATGGAGACACACAATCGCAGGCATCCAGCTGAAAACAAGACTCCGAGCCACGTGGCCCTTCCAAGCGATCCGCAGGTTTCTTCAGATCGCCTGCCCGGAGTTCTGGGGCGAGACCTCGGGCGAAGTGCCGAGGTCCTTGGGGACCCACCAAATGGCGGTCTTCCTTTGGCTTAAGCTTCACACCACTTGTACAATCAACAAGATCCACACACACACACATAGTTGGAGGGTTGTTTCAAAAGGGTTGGTTTTGGGGTTCCATGTTTGTCTATGTCCATCTTTTTGCTTTCATTTTTCCTCCCTTCTCGCAACTTCGCTAGGCTGAAGCGTATGTCGGCTCTTGTTGGGATAGGGCCAAGCCATCTCAATCTCATTGCTGACCTTGTCGGCACCAAAATCCTTTCAGACCCCCGAAGTGTACTTGGATTCTTTGTCTGCAAACAGTCCCAGCCCTTGTTGACCAGCTTGGGTTTCAGTTTTTGCTGGAAGCCATGTTTCGAGATTCCAACAGGACACCTGCACTTTTAGGGACATATGTTGTGGAGAATGGGCGCTTGGCTAGTGAATTGGGAAGTCTTTGGAATAGATGAAGAGTCACTAGGTGATCCTGCAACGCGTAAGCGAACGGTAAACCTACCCTGCAAAGTAACATGGAACTCCCCAAAACCATCCGTTGTGGAGGGAACTTTGAAACTTTGGACTCCATGCTAGTTTGCAAGGGAGTATGAATTCCAATTGCGGACTGTTTGGGGGACATCCTTCACAGATTTCTGTCTGCCAACATGACTTTCCTGGTGTTCTCATGTTCCCCATTAAGCTCATGGCCATAATATGGAGAAACTTGGATGGCGCCACCATGTCCTTCCCAACCAACAGTAAAACACTCCAAATTTTGGCAGCTCCTCATAGCAAAACTGTGAACTATGTGCTAGCACAGGGGTTGATTGCAAACACCATGTCCAGCCAAATGTCAGCAGAGCTTTCCCTCCATTTCCAACCTGTAAACATCACCCGGCCAGAAGCAATCTCACCTTAACTGGATCCTTTCAAAAGATGTCACTTATATCCACCGTTGCGGACATAGAGAAGCCTGTCAGCAACCCATCAAGATACTCGCCTGGTGGGATGGGACCTTGACTCAACTAGTAAAGCACACTTAGGGCGTTTCCTAAGAGGTCAACTTCCAAGGGTTGGCAAGTAACTTGCGTTACCCTAGCCAAACTGAAACAACAGTTCCAAAACACCATCCACAGAAAACTCTGCAGGAAAACTTTGTGCCGAGGTGGGGTATATTTGGCAAATTTCCTGTAGCAATTCCTGTAGCTGGTTACCATGTGCAGTCGACAAGATCACA